TCCATGGTGGGGCATAGTCCATACGGGTGCTGTCAGCTAGTGGCCAAGGACCCAGCCCTCAGCTCGCTCCGGTCTTTCTCCTCTGCCACCCGTAGGACAGCAAGTGCCAGGCTTCCCAACAGCCCCAACCCGGGTGGTGATTGCCCGGCCCACTCCTCCACAGGCTCGGCCTTCCCATCCTGGGGGGCCTCCAGTCTCGGGGACTCTGGTGAGTAGACAGGGGAATTCCCGTGGGGAAGAATTTGGGAAAAGAACCTCAAACTGGTATGAGGAAAGGACAGGGCTAAAATCCTCCCCTCCTCTTCCTCTCTCCAGCAGGGTACTGGGCTGGGTACCAATGCCTCATTGGCCCAGATGGTGAGCGGCCTTGTGGGGCAGCTTCTTATGCAGCCTGTCCTTGTGGGTGAGTCCTGGCTCTTTCCCATCTCACAGTTCAGAGAGTGCTATGATGCCAATCCTGGTACTATTTTCTGTCTTTATTTCTGGTGTTTTCCATTTTCTCTTAGTTCTTGCTTTCCTGTTAGACCTCAGGAGGCCACTGTGATGTCTGACTTCTTTCCGTATATCCACTTGCTTTTGGTTCCTGACAGCTCAGGGGACCCCAGGAATGGCTCCACCTCCAGCTCCTGCCACTGCTTCAGCCAGCGCTGGCACCACCAACACAGCTACCACAGCCGGCCCAGCCCCTGGGGGGCCTGCTCAGCCACCACCCCCTCAACCTTCCACAGCTGATCTGCAGTTCTCTCAACTCCTGGGGAATTTGCTAGGGCCTGCAGGGCCAGGGTCTGGAGGGCCTGGCATGGCTTCTCCTACTATCACTGTGGCGATGCCCGGAGTCCCAGCCTTTCTCCAGGGCATGACTGACTTCTTGCAGGTGAGTGGCTGGCTTGCCTGTTCCCTTATGCTTCTTGACCCAGCCTATGTGGCCTTACAAATTGAACTGCTCTGATTTTGGAAATGAATGAGTAAAATGTTGTGATTAGTGTCCTGCTCTTTGGTTTGAGGGGGAGAAGTTGCCTTGTCCTGCTCTGCTGTTGACTGTTGTGAGCGTTCTTGTCTATGGAGTCAAGCCCTGGCCTCCTGTCTCCCCAGACTGCTGTGGTTTTCTGTGTCCCTTGACCTGGGTCTCACTTCATCTTCTGTTTATTTCCCAGGCAACACAGGCGACTCCTCCGCCCCCTCCACCACCTCCTCCCCCACCCCCTGCCCCAGAGCAGCAGACTGCACCCCCGCCAGGGTCCCCTTCTGGTGGTGCCACAAGTCCTGGAGGCCTGAGTCCAGAGAGCCTTTCCCCGGAGTTCTTCACCTCAGTGGTGCAGGGTGTGCTGAGCTCGCTGCTCGGCTCTTTGGGAGCTCGTGCCGGCAGCAGTGAAAGCATTGCCGCCTTCATACAACGCCTCAGTGGCTCCAGCAACATCTTTGAACCTGGGGCTGACGGAGCCCTGGGTGAGCCAAAAGGGGAGCCTTGGCCTTTTCTGGGATGGGACAGCCAGGGAGGCTGCCAGCACAGGATGGGGATGATGGGCTGCTGGGGAGTGAGCAGGCCAAGGGTAAAGGCCTTCACTAACTTCTGCCCCTGTCTCCAGGATTCTTTGGGGCTCTCTTGTCTCTTCTGTGCCAGAACTTCTCCATGGTGGACGTGGTCATGCTTCTGCATGGGCATTTCCAACCACTGCAGCGGCTCCAGCCCCAGCTGCGATCCTTCTTCCACCAGCACTACCTGGGGGGCCAGGAACCCACACCTGGGAACATCCGGGTAAATGAAAGCTACACACCTTAGACTTCTCCCCCATTGCACCTTCAGCGCCTTGTTTCTGGCTCTGCTTGTTTGTCAGCTGAAGCTGTGACTGCTCTAGTTCTGGACCTGCATGTGTTTTGGTGCGGGAAGGGCAGAGGAGAAAGTCTCCCGAGAATGGAGGGTTTGGGACTAAACTGTGCTGTTTTCCTTATAGATGGCGACACACACATTGATCACAGGGTTGGAGGAGTACGTGCGGGAGAGTTTTGTGAGTGACCCTTCCACAGTCCTTTCCTCTCCTGCGTCAGGACAGCTGCTGTCCTTAGTGCCTTCTCCACTACCAGTGTCGGAGAGGGGATCCTAATTAGGGGTCTTTGTCTTGTCCCTCAGTCTTTGGTGCAAGTTCAGCCTGGAGTGGACATCATCCGGACAAACCTGGAATTTCTCCAAGAGCAGTTTAATAGTATTGCTGCTCATGTGCTGCACTGCACAGGTCAGGGGCTGGCCAGGCATGGGTGGGTGAGAGGTACATAGTGAATGTGCGGAGCTGCCAGGTGCCAACATTCTCTTTGTATCTTGCCCATAGACAGTGGATTTGGGGCCAGGTTGCTGGAGTTGTGTAACCAAGGCCTGTTTGAATGCCTGGCTCTCAACTTGCACTGCCTAGGGGGACAGCAGATGGAGCTTGCTGCTGTCATCAACGGTCGAATTGTAAGCACCGCCTGCCCCCCTCAGCTCCCCAGCCACATGTCCCTGAGAGTTTTCATTTGTCTTCTTTAAGGTTCCTTCTTGTACACTAGATCTGTGTTCCAAAAGTTGGTTGAGGGTTTTGTCTTCCCCGTCTTTATTTTTTTGCCCCTCAGCGACGTATGTCTCGTGGAGTGAACCCGTCTCTGGTGAGCTGGCTGACCACCATGATGGGACTGAGACTTCAGGTGGTCCTGGAGCACATGCCCGTTGGCCCTGATGCCATCCTGAGATACGTTCGCAGGGTTGGTGACCCCCCTCAGGTAAGGGGCTTGACCCCTCAGGTGAGAAGTCAGAGGGTAGGGCAACTGGAGAGGTCTAAGAGGCCTTTTGTGTTCTTTTTTCTCCACCAAACATCATAGCCACTTCCTGAGGAGCCAATGGAAGTTCAGGGAGCAGAAAGGACCTCCCCTGAGCCTCAGGTAACAGGGAGAAGTAGAAAGACAAGATCATGTGAAGTGGAGGGCTGAGATGGCTGGAGGATTGCAGTCTCTTGACTTCTGAAGCCTAATCTTACTGCCCTCTGAATCCCAGCGGGAGAATGCCTCCCCAGCTCCTGGGACAACAGCAGAAGAAGTCATGTCTCGAGGGCCACCCCCTGCTCCTGATGGAGGCTCCCAGGAGGAACAGGATGGAACCTCAGCAGAAACAGAACCTTGGGCAGCTGCGGTACCCCCAGTAAGTGTCTGGAGATGATCCAGTGAGCTAAGGCCACTGAAAATGGTGGGAATTACTACTTTCAAATATTTTCCTCCCCAGGAATGGGTTCCTATTATCCAGCAGGACATTCAGAGCCAGCGGAAGGTGAAACCGCAGCCCCCTCTGAGTGACGCCTACCTCAGTGGTATGCCTGCTAAGAGACGCAAGGTTGGTTTACCTCTTCTCTGAAGATCTCTGTTCCCTTCTGATGTTTAGAATTAAACTAAAGCTGGAATGAGCTCTTCTAGTTCAGTCCTCTCGTTCAGTGAGGAAGCCTTTGGACCCATTCTTGCTCAGTTATTGCACGAAACCACACAGGACTTGGTCTTTGTCACTTTGCTGGCAGTCTGTCGTACTCCCTCAGCTACCTAATTCCCACATGACTAGTGTTCATTTTTCTTTAACATTCCTTTCTTTTGTGGCTTAGTAGCTCTGAAATCCAGATGGCTTGACCCATTCTGTCCCTCTTGTTTTAAAGAACAAGTTCAGTAAATTCAAACCCCTTGTCTCTGGCCAGAGCCAGACATAATTAGGAAGGCTTTTCTGCTATCCAAACCACATGTGGACCATTTCCCTTCTTTCTGCTAGTGTGGAGACCCAGTGGTTGGTTGATGGAAAGGGCGCACTGGGTGGTGGCACTGGATCTGACGGTGATCCTCTTTTCCCTCCCCACTCCCCTGTCCCCCAGACGATGCAGGGTGAGGGCCCCCAGCTGCTTCTCTCAGAAGCTGTGAGCCGGGCAGCTAAGGCAGCCGGAGCTCGGCCCCTGACGAGCCCCGAGAGCCTGAGCCGGGACCTGGAGGCACCAGAGGTTCAGGAGAGCTACAGGCAGCAGGTGCCCCCACCTTGAAGCAGAATAGGGATGGTCCAGTGGGAGGGATTGGGATAGGGCCCCCTCCCCAATCCCTTCAGACAATTGGTTAGCCTGGGGTTGCACTGCCACTAGATATGGTAAAAGTATTTCTCCCTGGTGGCATGAGAAGGCTCTGCAGTGCCCTGTTGGATAGTGTGTGGCTGGTGGGGGGAATGTTAGCCCCTAAGGGGATGGCCTCCCTTGCTTGTTGGGGTCCCATAGCCCTGATCAGTGATTCTCCAACCTGCTTGCTCTCTCTTTAGCTCCGGTCTGATATACAAAAACGGCTTCAGGAAGATCCAAACTACAGCCCCCAGCGCTTCCCTAATGCCCACCGGGCCTTTGCTGATGATCCCTAGTTCTTTGCTCTGTGGCCCTTCTTTACCAGGGGACCATCTTCCCCCTCTTCCTTCACAGTATTTAAGAAATAAAAGTCGGATTTTCCTGGCTCTTTTGTGCGTCTTGGTCTTCATCTCCTGGGCCAGGCATTTGACAAAAGGTCAAACTCTACTTGTGATGTTGGTGTTGTGTTTGGTCGAGTCCTGGCTGTCCCACTTCTGGTCTAGCTTCCTTGTTAAAGCATCCTAAAGTAGGCAACACAAGGCTGAACCACACCCACAATACAAGTGGAGTCCTGGGCTCTTGCAGGCATTAGGGGGAAAAGCCACTCCCTAGGAAACCAGCTATGACCATGATTCCTCTGTGAACCTAAGTTAACTTTACATAACTTTTCTGAGGGGTTGGTGCCATAGTGTTGTGAGTTAAGCCTCTGCTTTGTGTGCCAGCATGAGTCCCAACTTATGATCCAGCTCCCTGCTAATGTTAATGCCTGGGAAAGCAATAAGATGACCCAGGTTGTTGAAGCCCTGCCACCACATGAAAAAACCCACAAGAAGCTCCCAGCTGTGGCTGTTGCAGCCACTTGCTGATATAATGGATGGAAGATCTCTCCACAAATCTGTAAACTTGTCTTCTAAAACAAATCTCTTTAACATTTTGAAAGGCGGAAAGGAAGGGAGAACCTCTATCCACTGGTTCACTTCCTAAATGACTACAGCATCCAAGAATGAGTCAAGCCAAAACTAGTCTATAAGGGTTGCAGGAACCCAAGAATTTGGGTCACTACCACTTCCACCCATGAAGTTAAGACAAAGAGTACTCCATCCCAGGGTATAAGAATTCTGAGCTTCACAATGCCTGCCACCAGATGATTGGGTATGTAAATTAGCCCCAAGATGGAACATCCATCTTACATGACAACAGAAAATGCAGTTCCAGACCCAAGTAAAATTAACACATAGAGGCACTCAAAGAGTTCTGCCTGACAACACTGAGGCTCACCTACCGCGTTCTAAGAGCCCATTAGTGTGCTGACAAAATGAGACACTTGCAGCACAGCTATAAACAGGACTTTTTTCCAACGGAACAAAATGACATATGACTGCTAATTCTTGGCTGCCATCAACTGCAGTTCTACCCTCTCCTACCGACTAGCTTGCTGCAGGAAGGACCAACAATGTGACATTTTCAACACCCTTCAGGAGGAGCTACACGGAGACCATGGCAGGTTGCCCACCTTTCAGATGTACCAAGACCCTACATGATGTGAAGGGAACCATATTAGGGTCAGCAGGGCCATCAACAAACTTCCCAAATGATCTTGTCCATTGGCCCCAACAGATTTGTCCAAGTGAGCCCCAGGCCAAACTTTTTGTAGTAGTTCAAAAAGACCGACTAAACAGGAGCCACATAAACATGACTTAACACCATGCTCTTGCAACACTAACCAACCAACCCATCCCCACAACTGTTTTGTGGCAATATTTTTTTAATCCTTTTATTATTATTTTTTAACAAACAGCCCCAGGGATAGGGGACCAGAGGAAGAGGGAGGAGGGGAAATGAGGCCCCAGCCCCACAACCCCTCCCCACCCACCCCTTTCCCCTTTATATATTTATAATCTATATACAAGCCCCGGGGATGGGGGGCAAGGGGAACTCCCTCAGTGGGGCGGGGGTAGCCCAGGTTCCTTGTCCCCTCGGGACCCAGGCTCCTCCGGCCTTCGGGAAGGTCCCTCTCGGGAAGGTGGCCCTGTCCGTTCCCAAGGCTTCGGCATCCAGCGTAGAGCATCAGGTGGGGAGGCCTAAGGGACAGGTATGTAGAACAGAAGGCTTAGTGGTAGGTGGTGGAAGGACCGGAAGTCACAAATTCAGACTTGGGGCCACAGGATTTCTTCTTCACCTGCTGATAGAGGTCGATGCGCTGGGTGCGGAACACTCCGCTGTAGGTTGAAGGTGGGGCCTTGAGTCGGGAATTGAGACCAGAGAAGGACCTAATGGGAGAAGAGTATTTAAGGCAAGCCTAACATCTGATCTCTGGTCCCCAAGTCAGAAAGCCCTTCAGGATGGGATGGGGATGTTCCATTCTCTTTTTACCTTCCAGCTGGGGGAGTACGTGAGGACCCAGATCCCCCAAGGTTGCTGCTCAGTTTTCGATAATCCTGGAACGGCTTTAGCTCCACTGGGTGCAGCTGAAAGCAAAAAATTCATGAATGCCCATTCAACCTGAGATACCCACTCCTAACTCTGCAAGTGTTCTGGCACCCTGGTTCCTGTACCTTACCTCTGCTCGCCCCAAGCTAGGAGGGAAAGGCCTGGCAGGTGAAGGCAGCACCCGAGTCGCTGGAGCAGGTGGGGGCCGCACAGCTAGGCTGGGGGGCTGTAGAGCAGGGCCCACAGGTAACAGAGAAAGGGGTGGGGCAGGAGGTGGCGCTGGCGGCAGGGAGCCGAAGTTCACCACAGGCAGCTGAGAGTCTACCACAGGTAGAAGCATCTGTAACAAATTCAGGTGTGCATGTTGGGGAAGGGGAGAAATGCTGGAAAACCAAGGGGTGACCAAAACCAAAAGCAAAAAGAAACAGTGAAAGGAAGAGTGTCAAGGGAAAAGGTACCTGCTGGGTAGGGGCCCCAGAAGGAAGGAAGCCACTCTGGCCACCAGGCTGCAGAGGAGAATAAAAATCCGAAGGGGATGGCAGATCCTGGCGTACCTACTCAGGAACAGGAAGAAAGAGCAACTCCTCTGAAAGCTTCTCCCTCACCCCTACACCTCCTAAACCCTGGCAGTACATGCCCACCTCTTACCTGAAGCAAAGGCGGGTCAGGCAGAGGGCTGGGACAGAAAGCTGGAGAATAGAGGAAGGAAGGTGGAGGGTAAAGAACTCCTCCAGCTGGCAACTTCCCCAGCTCTGTTGCTTGCAGTGCTGAGAAATCCAGAAACTGGCCCTTGAGAGCTACCCCAGAGAGAAGTGCCGAGGGAGGGGCTGGGCCTGGAGGCAGGTAGAGAGCCTGTGATCTAAAAAGAAATTGAGGTGAGCAAAGATGTTAAGCTAGTCATTTACTCCTTTAGTCTGAGTCGTTACACCATTCATGTAAACTTCAGTCTTTCCTTGCCCCTGAGGTATCTCTCAATTTCCTTATGAGGTCCACCAAACATCTAGTGTTACCTGTAGGCATTCAGTGAGGGGGTCCCTGGGCGGAAGCCACCACTGTTGGGATGTAACTGAGAGTCCATAGTTCCACCAGAGACCTGTGGGGAAAATAGCATAGTTGGAATAGTCCCAGTTCCTCTGGTTGAGAAAGCTGGCAGTGGAAAAAAAGCTGGCACCTCACTTGGATAAAACGCAAGAAAACTGGAATAACAAAAAACAAGGGGGTGGGCAGTCTTTTTAACTTCAAAACATATGAAGGCTTGGCTCTAGGAGGACAGCACGCACACTAGTATGATTACCCATTCCAGGGATCCAAGGGGATAGAAGTGAGGCCCACCTGTGAATTAGGAGGCCCAGGACTGCTGTAGAAGACCTCAGGGTACAGACGCTGGCTTGAGGAGCTGGGCTCTGGACCAGAGTGCCCAGAGCCTGCATTCTTGGACTGTGGCTCAGCTGAGGCTGAAGTACTAGGGAGAAGTTCCCAGTCTCGGCCTATTGGAATTGCCTAAAAGGAGAGACCTTGTTAAAGGGTATGTATGTCTGGCATCCTAGATGCCCAGGCCACTCCAAGGGATCTTTACCAGCAAAATGAAGTCTTAACACTCTCTCACCTCAGTGACTGATGCCGTTAGCTCCTTCTCTGCTTTTAAACTGTCCCCCACCACTAGGCGCAAGTCTGAATCCTGTGATCATGAGGCATGGAGATTGTCCCATAATTCAGATGTATCAAGTCCTACTTCTACCCCTCCCTTCTCTCCACCCACAGTCCGATCCAGCCCATGGCCGACCTTGTCATTAGTGCCAAACTGGACTGGGGGGCCAGCTCGATGGGCTGGCCGCAGAGGGCCAGGCTCTGCACCTCGGTCTGTACGCTGAGATCGCTCTGTGCCAATGGGACCAGGGGGCAGAGGCTGCTCCCGGGGCAGCTCCTGCAGTAGGGAACATAATAAAGTGCTGTTGGAGAAAAGAGAAGGAACTCTCTGCCAAAGAATCCCCACAATACAGGGAAAGGAAAGGGGCAGACAGAGGAAGAAGCAAAGGAAGCTGCCTAAGTGTCCCTCTTGACCTTTCATAGTTTACCTTTCTGTCCCCATCATGGGAAGAAGGTGGCCGTCTCCTAGGAGGTTCAGAGGGTTCAGAGCCAGGTGGACCCTCACCAGGAACAGCATTCAAGGGTGAGGGACCTCCAGGCCGCTTGGGAGGTCCCTCTGCTGCTCCCTTGAGTCCTCCATCAGGAGAGCTTCGCTGGCTGCAGGGACCTGATGACACCTGAGAATCTCCACTCAGGTCCACCCCACTGTCAGACTGACTCATCTGAGAGGAGTGGAGAAGGAGCTGGTTAAGCCAGAGTACAAAGCACCCCAATTTCTACAAAGCACCCCAATTTCTGATTCACACATACAGACAGAAAAACTGAAAAGGTCACTATGCTAGCATCAGCCCGACTTGACCTATAATAGGCAGGGAAGTTTTCAACCTATTCCCAGCTCATGTTCTCTCCCATGCCCCACTCACCTCTGTGCCAGGCACATCCTCAAAGGGACTCAGTGGTTCCATCCAGGGCTCCATGGATCCAGGCCGGTAACTTTTTCGGCTAGTGGCTGGAAGGAGGAGCACCGACCAGGATACAGAAAATGAAAGAGAAACAGCTCTGAAGCCCACCTCCCTCTACCCTACCATCAGCCTTTCCCCTTCATTCAGCTTAACTCACCAGTATGCAAATGGTTCCAGATATGAGGGGTGAGGGCTTCAGTGCCTGTATCTGGAGACTGCACTTGAGGGCCTGGGACCTCAGCCTTGGGGCCCAAGAACCCAGAGCTGTGAGAAGGTGCCAAGGATTCCTAAAGGTGACAAACGTCAGAGACAAAACATGAATAAGGGTGCAAACAAAGGACACGGAGACACAATGAGAGGTACAGGGCCAAGACAGAAGGGATACAAGCAGGAACGCACTGAACTGAGCAGACAGTGACAGCAACAGGGATAAATGAAACAAAACCAAGAAAAACCTTCAATAAAAGAGTGAAGTACAATCTCAATCCTCATCCCTCACCTCCTGCAGCAACTCTGGTTTTCTGGGAGGCCGCTCCCGCCGTTTGGAGGGGAAGGCATTAACTCCAGAAGAATCCCGTGGAGTCCCACTCACTCCTCTCACCATAGGCCCTGGCTCCTCGAAGTGGGAGTCTGCGAAAAAGGGAAACGGTCTGTATCTGCCTCCCTCTTACAAAGGCCCCCTACCTTTTCATCCCCATGATATCTCCCAATCCTCCCACCCCAGCTCCCTGCACTTAAGCTAGCAGGAAGGACCCCAAGTCCCTCTCCTCCCTCTCCAGCACCTGATCTCTGGAGGGAAACCTTCCCATCCTAATCTCCTCCAGCTTACCAGAATTGACGTTGTTGGCCCTCTGAGGGTCATATCGGCTTGGGGGCCGAGAGGAGGGGCCCTGAGGGGCTTGGGGAGGCCCAGGCTTGGGCCTTGGGTGCCCGCCTGGTGCAGTTACACTCCCTTGGCGACTGCTTAGCTGGGCCAGTGCCTGTTGAATACCAGCAGGGTTGCTGTGGATAACCTGGTCCAAACGGAAGACAGCAGAACTGCTTGGCGGCGGGGGAGGCAGGGGAAGCCCCGGAGGACGCTCCTCTGGAGGACGGCTAAAGGAACAGAACATCAGTCCCAGGGTTAACTAATTGTCACCTTTACCTGTTAAGTCAAGCATGTTCAGTTTTTCCTCTAAAAAGTTACCCTCTTCCCCCTCAAAACCATGCATACACCTAAGGACTTGCACAGTCTACAGGACAGTCTCAAGCCACTTGTCACTATTCTAGCTGTACCCTCTACACACACAAATTCCAATGCCTTCCTCATGACCTCACCTGCCCCTACATCTTACACTCAGACCTTACCTCATTCATAGCCTTCACCCCTACTTATACAGGTTTGGCCTAGAGGTTAAGATACCACTTGGGATCCCTGAATTTCCATCGGAGGAACCTGGATTATTAGCCCTGCCTCTGACTCTAATCCTGTTAATGGCACCCACATTGCAGACCTGGATGGAGTTCTGGATTCCTGGCTTCAGTCTGGCTCAACCCCAGTTACTGTGGGTATTTGGAAGTTAAACAGGTGAAAACTGTTTGAACTGAAACTTGTTTACCTACCTTCGGTTTTTGGGCGAGGGCCAGCTCCTTTTGTCTCCTCGTCCTGGGCCAGTCCTTGCCCCAGGACCCCCACCACCACCTCCACCGCCACCACCAGCCTTGCCCCCTGGGCCGGGGCGCCGGTTCTGGCGATCCATGCCTGGCCGCTGACTGGAGAAGCTCCGTTTGCTCAAATCCTTGGCTCTCTGGCTCAGATCTCCACGGGACATAGTTGAAATGCCTGGACCAGTTCCACCTCCACTGCCCCCAGGAGTTCCCACAGCCTTGGGGGCCATCAGTGCTTGTGGAGGAACCTCCTTATCCCCCCGGCGCTCACTGGCAAAATCGCTGCTCTCTGATGCAGTCTCCCATTCCTCATTGGCTTGGTCCGAGTTCTGGTTTGACAAATCGGGAGACTTGGCGGCTGCCCGGCGAGGTGGTGGGGGCACAATGACCGCAGCGAGTGCCTCCTCAGGTCCTGGAGTGGGAGCTGGGAGGGGCAGAGAGGGTTTGCCCTCAGCCCCTCTGGCAGCATTCTCCCGTTCCTGCTTAAGCCTCCGAAAACGAGGCGGTTTATCTTGCTGCTGAGCCCTCCCATGACGCCTCCTTCGGGGTCTTTCTCCGTCTTCCACGCTCATGCCCATGTTGCCACCTCCGCTGCTGCCTCCCCGTGCCATGGGAGACAGAGGCCCTGGAATCAGCTTCTCTTTCAAAGGCTCCTTATTTGTCGGCAAAGGACCTGCTGGAGGCTTTTTGGGAGCCAAGGGCTTGGTTGGAGGGCTCCAGCCTGGGCAAACAGCAGGAGGGGGCCGCCCGCCCCCGCGACCCCTGCGAGAAGGCACCCCTCTTGGCGTAAAAACTCGCCCACCACGAGCAGTGGAGAAACGGGCTGGGGCAGGTGAAGGGGGGGCTCCTGGTGGTGGAGGTGCCAGGGGAACCTGGGCGAGCACTCCCTCCTTGGGTGGTGGGGCCTCCTTGTCTGAAGGGGCCAGATCACTCTCATGGGTCTCACTGCCAGTTTCTGAGCCACGCTGTCGGCGCCGTTTTGGGATCTCTTCATACTCGGAACCTTCACTTCTTGTCTCGCTGGCAGTGCGGCCCCGGGGAGCCGAGGAGTGGTTTGGTCCCCCTGCTGTACTTCCTCGCCCATCCTCTCCACGAAACTCTCGGTAACTGCGGAATTCTCGGCTTCGGGTTCCCCGTCCCCGCCCTCCGTAGGTCCCACGAAAGCCTCTTCCTCTGGCAAAATACTCTCCCCGGCCCCGACCACGGCACGATGTAGGACCAACTCTTTCATAGGAATAGTCCCTCCGAAGCCTTGGCGCAGGAGAAAGATTCCCACTGGATGGTGTCTCTTTGGGGCCCATTTTGCCCTTGGCTGTCTTGAGAGGGTCTGGTTTCGGGGCCTTAGCTGCTTCATCCCCCTGTTCAGCAGGCTTAGAAGGCAGCTCTTCCACTTTTGCAGGTGGTGGTTTCTTTATAGGCCCTGCCCGGCGGGGAGGTGCCCCTTGCTCCTCTGGAGGAACACCACGGCGACTGCTGCCTGGGCGAGGGCCCCAGCGGGTCTCTGTGCGGCTTTCCCTGCGTGGAGGTGGGGGGCCTTGGCTCCCTCCAACTCCACGGGCAGGTTTTCGACCTGCTTCTGGCCCCGTCAGCTGTGGAATCTCCTCTTTCGGGGGTTCCTTCTTAGGTGGTGGAGCTTGTGTCTTTGCTGCCTCCTCATTGCCTGGGGGCCAAGGAAGTGGTCGGGGCCCAGGGGGAACAGACTCTTCCAGAGAGAAACGAGAGATCGGGGGTCCAGGGGCTCCATTCTCAGGAAAGCCTGGATAACTGGCCAGATAGGGTGGTGGGGGAGGCACTGGAGGAGTCTCACTCCTGAAAAAGGAGACAGAAAAGAATGGAAATACGCATCTCAGAATACAGAAAACTCTAAGTAGGGATGAAGAGTACTTTATTAACTAAACACTCTACGTTCGTTGCCACTACTTCACCAGTAACCCAAATTATTTGTCATGGAAGCCTAGATCCTTTCAGTAACAGCTCACCCATGTCTTCCTACAGCACTCACCTCATGCCCTTCTCATCCTCTTCCGCAGCCTGGCGCAGAGGGGAGGTCAGTGGGCGAGGATCAGTGGGTGTAGTGGTAAAGACATCTCCAACCCAGGCCAATTTGGGATCCACTGGTGGAGTGCCCCGTTCCCGCAAGAGGGTGGGTGCATGGCGTTCAAATGGCTCTGAGCTTGAGCCCCCACTGTCTGAGCGTTCTCGGGGAACGAGGCCTGTAGAAACAAAGAAAACCCAGGGCGGGTGTTGTGCCAGAGCATGTAAAGCCTCTACCAACACTGGCGACCTCTAAGGGTGCCAAAACAACCCCAGCTGCTCCACTTCCGATCCAGCTTCCTGTTAATGCACCTGGCAAAGCAGTAGACGACAGCCCAAGTGAATGGGACTCCTGCACCCAAGTGGGAGACAAGGAAGCTTGGCTTTGGCCTGGCCAAGCCCCAGCAATTTAGGGAGTGAAATCAGATCTCTCTTCCAACTCTGCCTTAAAACAAAACAAAAAAACCCACTCTTTGATCACAAGCACTCCAGACCCCCAAAAGTCTTTCCCATCTAGTTTTTCCTATCTAATCAGCTCCTATCTCTAGTTCCCACTAAATCTGAGCCGTTTTGCTCTTGTTAAATAGGCATGCTTACACTCAGCTTTCCTACAGAATAGTCAACCCTTGACCCTACCAAATAAATCCTGGCCAATAAGGGATCACTGTTTTTCCCTCCAATCCCATATTCATAACAAAACTACTTCACCAGGGCTGAGCATTTATCCTCCCTTCTTCCTTACTAAGACTAGTCTCACTAGGGTCACACTGGTGAAACCCTAACACTTATCTCCTAGGACTGAGGGGCACTCTGGCCCTCTGCCACTCCCACAGTCCCTTACCAGAGGGATGCACACCAGGAGAGTAGAAGTCCAGAGGGGGCCGGCCCTGCAGGAGCCGAGGGTCCATGTAAGGAGGAATCATCATCCAGCGGGGATCAAAGTTCATTGGAGGCATGGGTGGGGGTCGGCCCAGAGCACCCGGATACAGGGCCTTAGGGGGTGGTGGCGGAGCCTGTGGAGCTGGCACAGCCCCCAGGGTCACAGGCTGTGGTGGTGATGGGGGCACTGGGGCAGGGGGCGCAGAGCCCTGTTGATGCTGCTGCCACTGCTGCTGCTGTTGCTGTTGCTTCAGGAGCTGCTCCTGGGGGAGGACAGGAGAGAGGGTAACAGGACCAAAAGCCACATATCTCAGTCAGTCAACAAAAGGAATGTTCAAATGAGACAACTTAGACTAGATGGAAACTAGGTGCCATGGCAGAGCAAGAACTGGCTAAGTAGCAGGGCCAGGAACACAAGTGGAGTAACTTGTCCTCACCTGCTGCTGGCGCTGGAAACGAGGTGGCAATGACTTCTGATACTTGGGATATCCCAAGCCCTGGCTTGGGGGCTGCCGCGTAGGACCAGCCCCATCACTCTTGGGCTCCAACTTTGGGGCTGGAGGTGTGGTAGGAGGAGGAAGCTCTTCTGTTGGTTCTGGGCCCTCTTTTGAAGGCAGCTGGGGTTCCACTGCAGTGCAAAGATCAGAATGACATAACGTTATCAACAGAATTCCTGGCACTTCAGGCCCCACTTCAAAGTCTTTCAAAACAGAGGTGGTTCTATTGAATATTTATACTATTAAAGCTTCACCCACTTAAACCCCTCTCAGTACCCACTGACAGTGGTATCAATACTCCTCAGTTTTGCTCTATCCTAAGCATACAGATTTCCTTCTGTTTGATTCATTTTCCCTACTATTGATTATCCAACAAACTAAAAACAGGTGCTTTCTATTTCATTTACCTCATCCTTACCACCCTGCACCCTAAAACCAAGCCAACATCTGCCACCATACTTCAAAGTAACTATCCCCTCCTCCGTACCTGGGCTGGCTTCGAAGCTCCCACTGCTGGTGCTACCGGTAGTGCCACCACCACTCACCAGAGTGGAAGCTGGAGCCACACCTGGACTGGGGGTGGACTGGGCAGGAGGGGTCTGTGCTGGCTCTTCAGGTTCCTTTTCTGGAGTTGGAGTTGGAACTGGTGTTGGCACTGGTGGAGGAGCTGGAGGTGTGGGCAGTTCTTTGGGAACTACAGGTGGTGGAGCAGGGGCAGCAGGAGGGGCAGCAGGGGGAGCAGCAGGCTCTGCTTTAAGCCGCTTGTCAGGTGCCCCAAACTTTTCATCGAGCCGCTTGAGTTTCTCTGCGCAGGCTGCCCGACGCTCCTCCTGCATGCGGCGCTCCTCCTCTTCTCGTCGCCGCCGGGCCCGCTCCACCGCCAGAGAAATCTCAGATGAAGATTGTTTTCGCCGCTGCCGCCAGGCCTCATCTTCATCCTCAGGTGCTGGGGGCTTGCAGGGAGGGCCTCCACGATCCTGTCAATGGACAGATCCGGCAGGGCCAGGGTTGTCAGGCATTATGCTTTCCGCCATCTCTCACAGATCAACCATTCGTCTTTAGTTGCAGTACCTTAGGGCCAGCCCTTGGGGTGGATGGTCTCACTGGGTGGGGACAGGCTCTAACGCTGGTGCTTTTTCCTGGTCCCTCTCCCCTGCATATCTGAAGGCCACCTTGTTCTTTCCCACCATTTTAATTTCTCACATTTATCACACTTAGACTTCTCTAACACTAAGCCATGTCCCCAAGATTTGCAGATACCCTGCAGATCTCTACTTCACATAGCCAAGTTCAGACTTCACCCATCCCATCTCTACTACCACCACCACTCCAACTACTGAGCTGACACTCCCACAACTGACCCTCTAAACCCCTCATTTTAGATACTCACTGGGTAGTCTCCAGGAGGACCCCAGTTCCCAGCAGGGCCTCGGTGAGGTGGAGGTGGGGGAGGCTTTGGGGCAGGAGGCCCTGGCTCTGTCTCCGTAGGCCGAGAGGTCTCTGTCCAGGCTGTCTTTGGAGGAGGCGGCTCATTCCCAGGAGAGGTGCCCTTCTTGCCATCTGTTTCAGGGGGCCGCTCTTCACTAGCAGCGGATTGGGAATCCTTGCTGTGAGATCAAAGTGGAATTAAAATCAGCTGCAAATTAGTACATTACCATGAAAAAAAAAATAAGTCTCCATTCAATCCCAATAGCTGTAACTCACTGGCCCTCAGCTCCCTCCTCATCAGAGTCTCTCCCATCTTCCTCATCGCTGAACTTGAGCTTCTCAGTGTAGTCAACCTCCTCATGGGCCCCTGAGAAAAAAAATTAAGATCAGTAACAGAAGCAACCTATTCTCTAAAGTCCAGTGTCTTCCTGAGACACAAAAGAACTGTTCAGAACCATATGATGCTGGGACACCGCACTAAGGTCAGCTCCTTCCCTCTAAGGTTTAGACCCAACTCTAATGCCTGTCATACTGACTGCCAAGATTCTGCCACAACTCAGCCCTCATATTTTCGTCCCTGCCCTTAGATACATACTTTTCTCCCATACACCCTCTCCATTTTTTCCCTCATTGAAGCTTTTTCTTTAAACATCCAAGTTATTGCTTCCTTGACTATTCACCTACCTGCCCAACCATCATCATTCTCCTGGTCCAACTGGTCAAATTCTTTGAGATTATCCTCCTTAAGAATAGAAGGCCGACCTACAGGCTCTACCAGGCGCATGGGTGGCCCTGAGCCCCGGGGGCCTGCTACACGAGGAAAACGGCTGCATACAGAAAAACAAATGGGAGAAGGCAAAAAAAGGAAAACATGTTGTAAACCCATTCAAGACTAGACCTACTGGTTAGAAAGAAGACCATTCTCTCTCCAATAGGTTTTTCCCATCCCCAACCAACCCCAGACCTGGACTGCTCACCTGGGCCCATCAGGTGTAGGGTATCGGTAAGGCCCCTGGGGTCCGTAGGGCGGAGGGAATGGGAGATATGGAGGATACATCTGCAAAAGGGACCAACAGCAGGTGCTCAGAGGGGAGAATCAAGCAGCTCATTAACTCTGGGAACTTGCTATCCCCCCAATTTATCTCCACGTCATGGGTGCTCTAGCTTCCAGTGCATCCACAAAGAACCCCCAAACTCACAAAGGGCGGCATCATTCCGCGGTAGGGAGGGAACTGGGGTGGGCCCGAGGGCTGCAGCCCGCCCCGGGGGTCATGACCATGATGAAGTTTGGAGTCCGGGCCCTCCAGCTCATCAGGGCCACGCCCACCTCCGTCCCTCCAAGTTGTAGAATCTACATTTTGGAAAAAACAGAAAGAAATTATTAGTAATTCAGGGGCACGTAAGCATAGTGATAATAATCGGGGAGCAGGATGAACAAACCAACACTTAGCTTGGAGTAGGTACTGTCTAGTCCAAAACGCAGCCACTTACTCTGGGGGCGGAGGCTTGGTCCGGGCCCAGACGACTGTTCGGCAGACTCCCTTTCCTTGGCAGCCTTGTCCTGGTCGCCAGCCGCCTGCAGGGTCGGAAATTCCTCTCGAGAGAATCGTGACAGTAGGCTTGATGCCCTTCCACCTTTTGGGATGGGAGTGCACAAAAAGAGACAAGAGCATATTCAATAACACACATCACCGCAGTGCAAAGCTCCCACAGATGTCAAACACCGTCCATGGACTAAGTGCATGTTCCCCTAAACACAAGGTCAGTTGTGGGATCTCATCACCCTCTCAACCCTCACATGAGACTGAGAGTTAAAATTTGCTCATGTGTCCCACAACACTAAATAGGGAATCTAAGATTTAGTGAAGAGAACTGAGAATGCTTTACTAATGAAACAGTGTAGGGCTCCTGCCTAGGAACCCACATGGTTCACCAGACAGCATGGCACTCACCATCTCCATGTGCTCCATGGGTGACGCTGGCTTGCGCCCAGGACTTTACCCCGCTTGGAACCGAAGGAGTGTTCTGAGGAAGCAGAGAGATGAGAAGCGATGATACAGCTGGAGGTACCACGAGCCTTTTTTTCCTCCCACCCTTCCAGTTCTCCTGGTACCTCGGGGGCTGCTGGGGGTCGTTTCGGCTGGTTGGAGGCAGGCGTCTGTGAAGCCGGCAGTGGCTGCGATTCCGGCGGCTGAGCGGTTGAGGCATCGGAACTGACAGGATAACAAAACAGAAAGGTTATCCACAGCCTCAAGAAGCCCACCCCGCTTCTCCTAACGGGTGTGGGAAGGGACTGAACCCTGAAGCACTGCTACCACCAACAATCAGGACAAAACATTTTGTCACTCTGCAGGAGATGCTGTTTCTTCAAGCTCTCACTTCATTTAACATTAAACTGAAAGTACCATTCTAGTCAGCTAAACTTGGAAAGGGTTGCAAAGGCGTCTCCCTTTCTCTCTGGCTCTTAATGTGGCTGAGACAGACCAAGACCACTCCAATTTAACATTTAGTTCAAAGTTAAAATACTGATCTCTGCAGGTTCCCCCAAAGCTGTCTACCTCTTGGGGTCGGACTGCTCCTGTTTGCTTGCCCATCCTGTTCCGTCTTTCGGCACTAGTGAGACATTCGGGTCATTGCCTTTGTTCTCGGCTTTTAGGCTTGGAAGGTTGGCTGGGGGTGGCATACGCCGGGCAATGGCAACTTTCCCAAGACTCTGCAGGCCATGACGAGGAGCAACTGGAGAAAAAGTAGAGATGGTCAAACATGCCTCCCCTGGAGATCTGACAGCCTCTCACTCCAGGCCCAACTTAAACATCCTCAATGTCTTGCTCCCAGACATCATTCCCATCCCCTGCACTGGATAAACCAAGATCCCTATTAAAATGAAATATATTTCATTCAATGCTTCAATGTGGGAGGGTTGGTCTTGAACCTGCGGAGAGCAAGCTGGCTCCAGAACTTTCCCAAATCCACATTTCTTTGCCTCCAATTCTTACGTGTCCAAAGACAGGGTACCATAGACACGCCTTTGTAGGAGGATAATTGGTATTTGCCCAGAGCCCAACACCCACCAGAAAATTGCCAGTGATCTGCCAATCTTTTGGCATCTCTATTATAACAGTTCCCCCCCAGAGGGCTCTAAAACATAATGCCCCATCCACGCCTAGCCTCCAAACATTAGCAGCATCTTTGTAGCAAGACCCTCACCAGCAGGTTTCTGGATCTCTAAGGACTTGCCCTTATACGTATCAAACAGGTTGAGTGAGGAATACTTCTTTCCATCCTTCCCCTTGGCAGTCGGCCCCGAGCGATCGGACATTGCGCTGGAAGCTCATTGAGTACGTTGGGTCCTGCAGGCTCCTCCCCCAAAACGTTCCGGAGCCTGTGGACCAGACAAGAGTCTGTCTCTGTCCCCCTTATAGATGACTACACCAGAAGCCCAGCAGGAACCTCTCCTCTTTACAGATGTGTGACCCTCTGGGATCTTTTCTTTCAGCCTATGGAAACTGCCCAGTCCCTCTGAGCCACTCACTCACTCAGCTCCCCAGCCCAAATGCCATGCTCCCTTTCCCCCAGCCTGTTCTGACCAAAGCAGTCGAAATAACTGCCCCATCCTCCTAATATAAACAATGTGGTAATCCATAAAGGGCAGTGGCTTCTTCATTACCCCTCACAACAATCTCTTCCGTCTCAATCAAACTCATGCCAGAGACCAACAATAAAAAGAGTCAAGCAGGGCCCAGTGGGTTGCCTAGCGGCTAAAGTCCTCACCTTGAAAGCGCCAAATCTCATATTGTCGCCTGTTCTAATCCCAGCTGCCCCACTTCCCATCCAGCTCCCTGCTTGTGGCCTGGGAAAGAAGTTGAGGACTGCCCAAAGCCTTGGGACCCTGCACCGATGTGAGAGATTTGGAAGTTGGAAGACCTCCTGACTCCCAGCTTCAGATCGGCGCAGTACCGGCCGTTGCGGTCCCTTGGGGAGTGAATCATCCGATGGAAGATCTTTCTCTCTGTCCCTCCTATCTGACTTTGTAATAAAAATAAATAAATCTTAAAGAAAAAAAAAAGTCAAGCAAGTCCAAGTCCCAGAAAAAAAAATCAGAAAGAGGCACATGATTCCATCAGGCAAGGAAGATAGGTTAGAGACCTACTTGGTAGACACCAGCTCCCTAATCAGGCCCTAGGGCCCACTCCAGTAGCCTTACGTTCCCATGTGGGGGTTTGTAGAAAGGCATGCTGGGAGTTTCAGGATTTTATGAGCTTGCTTGGGCAGACTAAGGGCTGGTGCCAGAGAAACCCTCAAGGAACAAACAGTGGTTCTGCAGAGCCCGAGATTACAGTAACCGAAGTTTTGTAATAATCTATCCTTTCTCCATACTTGCACCCCTCTCGGTTCAGGGGGTGAATGTGAGGGGGGGGGAGGGGAGTCTTGTCTGCACAGAAATACTGACTTCTCCTACACAGAAAAGAACAAAGCATTTATAGATCCACCTCAACAGCAGCCTGTTACCACTGGCCGTACACCAGAGGGCCAAGGCCAGACCAACTCCATTTTCCTATCCTCCAGAAAAATACCCCTCGGCAGTCATTCTTGTCCAATCACCCACCCCTCACTCCAAACAGGCCAAACCCTGCAACCTGAGTCCATTCAGAATGACGAAACATTCATTTATGGGGAACAGTGTAAAAGAAAGAAATGAAAAGCAGGGGAAAGCAACGAGACAAGCCCAAACCAGAGAACTTTCCGACAGGGTAGAAGAGATGAGGATGGGGCATGTTTGTAGATGCTTGAGGACATCTGTAGAAACATACATGAAAAGGGAACAGAAGAGTCGAAGAGCGAAGAGGCTAACACTAACAGCAGCACTAAAAAAAAAAAGCAAGCAAGCAGGTGGGACATAGATGGAGACAGGAATGGCAGACAGGATGTAGAAAGTGAGGGGGCAGTGTCAAGAGACCCAGGAAGAAAAGGGGAAATGAGGAAGAAAGAGAACGAGGAATGGGGAAAATGGAAAGGCAAAGATCGAGGAATGTAAAGATGCTGGATGAGAACAGGGTTCCGGTGGGAGTGACTCGACGCAGAGGTGCCAAGAAGGTGGAACCCACACTCCGGGAGATGGAAGGGGACCCAATGCGGTGAAAAGGAGACCCTGCAAGAGAAGGACCCTCAGACGCGGCCCACCCCAGGGACACGGCGGCCGGGGAGAGGGTCACCAGATGGAGGTGAAGAGCCAGGAGCGCAGTGGAAGGTGGGGAGGTACGGGCTCGGGAGCGAGGGGAGGGGTGGTTCGCTCCCTGCCAGGACGCTGGGTGGGTGAGGTGAGGCTGCAGACCCTCGCACAGGAGCTGGAGATGCCGGTCCGGGGAATAGAGGTCCCGGAGGGGGAGGGGCAGCCAGGCCCGGCAGCAGGAGGACAAAATGGCGGCGGCTAATGGCAGCTTCTCCTCCCCCCGCCGGCCCGCCACCGCCGCCGTCGCCGCCGCCGCCGCCACCGCCGCTCCGCGCCGGAAAAGGGCGTCAGCGCTCGGCTCGCCCAGACTCACCTGGCCGGGTGCGCAGGGGTTCGGGACCGGGGCCTAGGGGCTCCCCGGGGCGGGATGGCGGTGGGGCGGGGGCGGATGGCGGCGGATGGCGCCGGGCTCGGCTCCTCCCGTCTCCCTCGCTCACTCCGCGGCTGGGCTCCGACTAACGGCCCATCCGGGCAACCGCCGCCCCCGGGATTGCCCCCCCACTCCCGCCTCCCTCCGCGACTAGACACGCCCCTCTATTTGCATAAAGGGCGGGGCGCTTGCTAGCCTCGCTCTCTTCTTCCTAGACTATCCTTTTTTAAAAAAAAGAGGGGGCAGGGCGTACGGAGCTTGCGGCGGCTATTTGCATAAGGAGGAGGGACTTACGGACGCTAGGACGCCGGTTGGCTGAGGAGACGGGCGACCGGCGTCGGCCGTCGGCCGTTGAGACGTGCTAAGGGGGTGGGAATTCGACGCTGCCCAGCCGGGCGGTTGGGGCGCGGAATTTACACGACGGAGGGTGGGAGAAAGAGGCGGGGCGTGCGTCGTGCGTTCGTGGAAATAGGGGAGCGGAGACGTAGGGACGCCCTAAGTGGAAGGAAACCGTACAGTTTTTAGTCGTGGAAACCGAGAGAGCGAGAGACGAACGGAGAGGCCGGGGGGGGTGGGGTAACGCAGCCTGGGAAGAGCCCGAGCTCACGCGTCTTTACGCGAGAGGTGGAAACCCCAGTGGGGTGGGCCTGCACTTCCTAAATCACGTCATGCAAATGAGGTGGGTAGACGGCCGGACGCCGAGGGCTGGGCTGTCATGGCAGCAGCGAGGGGGAGTCGGATGTGCTTGCATAATATATGCAAATTATCGAACAAAAAATAGATTGGGAACTATCCATTGGTCGAAATATCGGCAGCTAGTGACCTAAAGGAACATAATATAAATGTTCATGAGTAGACTTGGATTTGATATCAGTGGCTGCTTGTATTTCCTCAACAATGGATCATGTTACAAAATGTGGTGCTGTTTATCTCCTTTGTTGCTCAGCGACGGAAGAACCCTCTGCCTCCATCAGACCTGGTGCCCATTCCAACTGATCATTCCAGAGTGGTAAAGAAGTAGAGGAACGCAATATAACATGCTTGAGGAGGATTAGGAATACTGCAAGAACTCAGCGAAGCGTGAAGAACTGGTTAGGATCTAGTCAAGTGTGAGGAGAGGGTGCACATCTCACATGAGTAAAGGCGTGTGGGCTTGGAGATCAGCTGTGAATCTGGTGTGGCCAGTCCCTCGGAAGCAATGAAGACAGAAAAATTAACAGGAAATCAGTTAAGAATTCTAACCTGAGGCTGATTTAGAGTTCATTTCCCACACTTTCAACCTAGCAAGTTATGATAACGGTTTTTGCACCAATTTTACTTTTGAGAAAAATATTTTAAATATTTTTAAGAGATATTCATACTTTCTGATTTTTCTCCTAACACACACTCTGTTTTTTTTTTTTTTTTAAACTTGAAAGAGTTACAGAGAGCGAGCTTTTATCTGCTGGTTCACTCTCCAAATGACCGAAGAACCACAGCATCTCTAGTCCAAAGAAGGGGCCAAGAGCTTCTGGGTCTTGACAAACAGGGAGCTGAATAGGAAGTGGAGCAGACAGGACACAAATCAGTGCCCATAAATCCAAGCACCACAACAGTGTGGGTCGAGCCAGGTTCGGTCGCAGCAAAGACTAGTGCACAATGCAGAATGCCAAGGTGAGGTTGCCTATACCGGAAGGGACTGCAGCGCCCAACCAGCATGCATGAGAACAAGGAAGGGAGGGGGCAGAGCCGGCAGGGGAATAAGGGGTGGTTCCTTTGCTGGACAGCTACTCCCACTGGAGAGCATGGGCTGGGATGGGGGCAGAACAGACTAGGCAGGGCTACAACACCAGTAGGCCTCATGTGGACTAGATCCCCTGATCTAGCCAGGCTGGGCTGATTATTCCTACTGGTGCAAACAAAATTAGAGTGGGTAAGGGTTGTTTGGGCTTAGCCACAGCATCAGCTGGAAGAAGCTGGCACTGGGGGCTAGTTCTGTCAAGTCAAACCACAGAACTATCTGGAGAGTGTATAATCTGGGAGTGGGAGAGGCCTGGGAGGGAAATAGTGGGCTCCTCCCTCTTGGGTTACCACTTCCACGGGAGGCCATAAAGCTAGGACAGGAGCTGGGGTGGAATGGGGTGTGGGACAGACTGGACTACTGCTACACATACTGGCAAACCAGGGTAGGGGGCAGGCCTGGTGGGGGTTATTGCAGGTCGCTCCAACTAGGCTGCAGCTCCCACTGGTTTATGCAAGGGCCGAGTATGTGCTGGGCAGAACCAGGATGGGCTGCAACACCCATTGATTTCAGTGGAAGTCGAAAGTGAAAACAGAACCAACCCAGCAATTGCAACCTCCAGCTGATCGGGGCGATGGACTGTGCTGGGCCCTGTACTTGCTAGCACATACAAGAATCTGGTTTGAGAACACCTCAGACAAAGTTTCTTTGGAGATCTCCCCAATCAAAATGCTGGACTCAGAACCCTAACCAAGAAAACAAGACAGAACAGGTCAACCAACCATCTCAGCTATATCTTAGCAGAGAAATACGGGGCAAACAGAGACTATGATGGACTATGTCAATCAGTGGATTCTTCAAGGACCTCATAGTGCTTGGAGTGGCAAGATTGGCAGCGATTCATAACTGTTGAAATATCAGAACCACTTGAGCAAGAACCTCAGAGCATACCCTACATCTGGGACCTGGGGAGGGTGGGAAATTGGGGGGCCTTCTCCCTTAATACCCCCCTTTAAACATGAAGGAAACAATATGTAAAAAAAATAGTCTTACCCACTTTCCTGTAGCCCTTTTTACCTTAATTAACTATGTAAGGATTGTCAAAATATAATTTTTTAAAAAAGGACAAAAAAGCCAAACAAACAAACAAACAAACAACTCAGTGGCCATTTGGGATCCCAGCACCACATATTAACCTCATTATTGTCAATACTTTTCCTCTACCAATTCCCAAAAGAAAATGAAATCTCCGGGCTTCTTGTGACAGCCTAGCAGTTAAAGTTCTTGCCTTGAACGCGCTGGGATCCCATATGGGCACTGGTTCTAATCCCGGCAGCTCCACTTCCCATCCAGCTCCCTGCTTGTGGCCTGGGAAAGCAGTCAAGGATGATCCAAAGCCTTGGGACCCTGCACCCGTGTGGGAGACCTGGAGAAAGTTCCTGGCTCCTGGTTTTGGATCGGCATAGCACCAGCCGTTGCGGTCACTTGGGGAGTGAATCATCGTATGGAAGATATTTCTCTGTCTCTCCTCCTCTCTGTATATCTGACTTTCCAATAAAAATAAAAAATATATCTTTTTAAAAAAGATTTATTTATTTGAAAAGTAGAGTGACAGAGATGAATTGGAGGAAAGGTGGCTTTTATCCTCACATGGCTACAATAGCTAGGACTGGGGCCTGGCTGAAGCCAGGAGTGTGAAACTGCATCCAAGTCTCCCCACATGGGTGGCAGGGTCCCCCACATACTTGGTCCATCCTCTTCTGCTTCCCCAGGAAAATTAGCAGAAAGCTGATCTGAAGCACAGAAGCCCAGACTAGAACCTATGCTCAGATGTGGTAAGCCAGTGTTCCAAGTGAGGTCACCACAATGCCAGACCCTGACTTCTAACAACGTGGGTGAATTGTACCTGTTTTGTATTTAAGACAAAGCACAAGTGTACAATAAGAGTTCTTTTGTGTCTTTTGCTCAGTGTTTTGTTCATGAGATTATGCATACAGTTGTGTACAGATAGGGTTTGTTCTCATTGCTGCATTATAGTAATACATGATGTGCCTGTGTAGGACTCACCCACTAGGATGCCTCCCTGGCTCATTGACTGGGTTTGTCCTCAGGGTATGAATCACATAAGCAAATCAGATTCTCTTTCCTAGGGTGGAGGGAGTGATCAGGAAATATGAAACAACAGCCAGAGGTTGTGCTAGAGTTGACTCATTCGATCCCATGGAGGAGGATATGGCCATCCCCACGAAAGCTCCAGCCCTCCCTTCTGTCATTTACAGACCCTGCATCCCAGATGTGTACCCCACCAGCGGCTTCCCAATACAACCTCCTCTACCCTTCATTATATAAAGTCCCTTTCTCTCTCTTTCTTTCTTTCTTTCTTTCTTTCTTTCTTTCTTTCTTTCTTTCTTTCTTTCTTTCTTTCTTTCTTTCTTTCTTTCTTCTTTCACAGATTTACACAGAGAAGGAGAGATAAAGTCTTCCATCTATTGCTTCACTCCCCAGATTGCCACAATGCCCAGAGCTGACCTTATCTGAAGCCAAAAGCCAGGTGCTTCTTAATGGTCTCCCATGCATGTGCAGGGTCCCAAAGCTTTGACCCATTCTCTACTGTTTTTCCAGTCCACAAGCAGGGAACTGGATGGGAAATGGAGCAGCCAGGACACAAACCCATGCCCATATGACTTCCTGATACCTGTGAGTGGAGGATTAGTCAATGAATCTGTTGCGCTGCTCTCCCTCCCCCATAAACTCACTTTCTATAGCATGTCCCAAGAGGACCTCAGTGATTCATATAATGCTTCAATTATGGGGCCTTAAGATGTTGTCATCCTTGACTTCATTAAATAACACCACCTTTTTCATCCTTTCGCTTTAAGTTTAAATGTTCCTGTGGGCTCTGAATAGGTCAGGTGTGATAGCAGAGATCACACTATCCAGAAAAGAGCTCAGGGAGGCTGCCCAATTGGTCAAGGGCCCAGAACTTACAATAGTAGAGAATGTGGTTTTGAGGAAAGCATCTCATTTCTTAGGAAAGCCACCTTGGGCCTGGGTGACAGTTTTTCACCTGTACATAGCTTTTGCCCCTTCCCACATTCCCCAGGCCAAACTGACTTAAACATTTGGAATCCTTCTCCGTGCACAAAGTCATGTGCCTTGCAATATAAACTGGAAAATTGTTGATGAATTGTTCACCTAAACAAGTCCTTGCTGTCCTTCCCTTAGATATATCCCTCTTCTCCAAACCCAGGCAAAAGATATCCCCCAAATAAAAACCCAGCTGACTTGATCTAGAGTGGGAGGAATCTTTAATTTGGCTCACAGTTTTGTCTTCTGTCTCCACACTGGGGTCATTAGAAGCCCCTTCCAGCTCCACCCACCCAATCAAGGCAACTCAGAGATGGCTTTCTTGGCTGGGGGACCAGTTGCCTTTTCTTGTTCTCTTGTTTTCTCCTCATACATTAGAATCCTGGTTGAGATGGGGAAGAGACACAGGGATCAGGAAACGCTTCTCTCAAGGCAGAGAAAGGCTTGCTGAGAGAGCCCAGGAGGGATGAGGTTGTGGGGTTGGAAGGAAGAGGTTGGACAGAGATGGAGGTGCTGAGGGATGTGGGGACCTTGAAGAGCCTCAGAAGAGTGCCCCTAAGCTTAGAAGAATAGATGCCAAGCAAAGTGTACTTCCTGAACGCAGGGTTAAGGGGAGTGGAGCAAGCAAGTGTAGTTGGGATTGGCACTCACATTTTTAGGATGGCAGATCTCTTGCCCAACATCATCCTGAGGAAGTCGGGGTAGCTGAATGTCTCCCCAGAGCCACCAGACACATCGCTGATTAATTTCTTTAGTTCCAGGTGAGTCTTGGGGGCCCCAAGTTTCTCCAGCATTCTCTTCAGGGACATGATATCTGGAGGGCAGAGGGCAAAGATGAGGGGATGGGAAGGAGAAACAGAGGAAGCCCCCACTCCTTCCCTGTTCTCATGTTCCCCTTCCTCGGACTCAGATGGGTATGGGTGGGCTGTTTCCCAGACCACAGAGAGGGGAGCACCCTTTTCTCACCGATATCTCCATTTCCATTCAGGTCAAATTCCATGTACTTCCCTAAGTGAGGGAGGAAGAAGAGAGTAAGTGCTGCCTGAAGAGTCAGAGGTAGAGGGTAGAGGTTGCTGGCTCCTGCTTGGTGGGGAGAAGAGGTGGGAGGAGGAGGGGAGACAGAGGAAATTGGGATGGGGGGCCCTGTTAAGAGGGGAGGGCACTAGAGGAGTTGCTGAGAGGAAAGGGACCACTATGTAGGAGGCAGATGGTAAGTACCTGTTCCCTTCTTTCTACTGGACAGGTCAGTTTAGCACCATGTTGTCTCTGCCTTCTTCTTAGGGAAGGAGCACCCCCCTTGCCTCCACCCCATGGGAGACCCTCACTTTTGAAGGCTTCCAGTTTGGAGGGCAAATCCTCATCCGTGCTGTATTTGGGATCATCCAGGAATTGCTATTGGAGACAAATAAGAATAAGGGTAGGACCTCCCCCTGACCAGTGCGATGCTCCCTCTGTTCCCCAGGCACAACCCCCTCCCTTCTTCCTGCTACCTTGTTGATCTGGTCTAGGCCTTCCTCCTGCCGGGCCTTCAGCAGCCCAAAAGCTTTTCCTCCTGTCAAGGTAGAAAACATCATCACCATTGGCCCCTGCTTGCCTCTCCCCACCACACCCTGGCATACCCAGTCAACGCTCCTGGGTTTTTTAGCTGAACTGGCCCTGCAGCCCAGGTCTGCCCACTCCCTTGCTCCCATCTTATGCCCCTGTGTATTCCACCTTCCCTACCCTGCAAATCCTTGGCGTGGCTCATAACTCAGCAGGTGCTGGGAGACCCAGGGAGAGAAACCACACGCTGCCAGTCAGTCTCTCTGCCTGCTGCCTGGTGTCCTGTGCCATCAGACACCCAGGAGCCTCACTGCCAGACTTCCCCTTTCCCCTTATTCCCTCCTCCTCTAACCCCACTCCCCACCCCCCAGCCTAACTTCCCCATCAGCTTCTGCTGATGCCAGCACCCCAGAAAGGAGAGACAGGTGTAGAATTGAGCGGACAAAGAAATTCTACAAAATTCCTCTTATAGCTCAAAGGATTGCAAAGGAGATATTTTGACAGCCCTTAGAGGTGTGAGGAGAGGACTTTAAGAACCCCCAGGGCTATTTATTCTCCAGGCCATATGGCCTTTGACCCTTTGCCAAGGGCTTGTGTTTTGTCAGATGTCTTGCCACTGGGCATGCTGCTGAAGAAGGGCTGGCTGAAATTCTTGACTCTGGGAGTGAGGGAAAAGTCTCACCACTGCTTGGCAGCTGCCAGAGGGTGTTGGAGAGGCACGTGGGGCCCATATAAAGAGAAAAAAGCTGCATCCAGAGAGACCCGCTGAGAGTTGGACATGCTTCATGAGGGATTCTAATTTGTTTATTTATTTTTGTGCGATGTCACCCTCTTTTCTTGCTTCTTTTGTAATCTGTAGTGAGATCGACAGAGCTCAGGAGTTTGAGAACTGAAATAGACTCTTTGGAGGAACTGAAAGTGGGACTGAAAGAGATAGTATTTGCGATTTGTGAACCAAAGAGACAGGGAGGGAGTTACTGGCTCACTCACACTGACGACATTGGAGGGTGTGTGTGTGTGTGTGTGTGTGTGTGTGAGAGAGAGAGAGAGAGAGAGAGAGAGAGAGAGAGAAACGTTGGGTGGGCATGCTGGTTACCATGAATTCACTAAGGTGAGGGTAGTTCTGATAAACAGCCTCTCTAGGCAGAATTCAATCTCCATTATCACAATTTGGCTGGTCACTGCTAGAGGAAGTAAGGAGAGTACATCTCCATTTGCTGGGATGTCCTTGTCCCAACTTCCACCCATGGCTCTCTCCATCCATCCTGCCCAGCACTGCCGAGCAGATCATGTCTTCTCCCTCCCTCCCAAATTTTTCCTTCTGCATCTGGGAGGTTTCACTTTTCCCTGTCCCCTTCCTGACCTGGGCAGGTCGGGGCAGAGGATGTTGACTTCTTGGCTTCCCTTTTTGGCAGTTACCTTTCCCTTAGGGGACAGCCGCAGCCATGTCCTCCCCATGCTCCCAGTGCCTGCTATGGAATCCTTTCTTTCTTTCTTTCTTTCTTTCTTTCTTTCTTTCTTTCTTTCTTTCTTTCTTTCTTTCTTTCTTTAAGATTTATTTATTTTTGTTGGAAAGTCAGAGATATACAGAGAGGGGGAGAGACAGAAAAATCTTCCATCCGACGACTCACTCCCCAAGTGGCTGAAATGGCCGGAGCTGAGCAAATCCAAAGCCGGAGCCAAGAGCCAGGAACCAAGAGCTTCTTCTGGGTCTCCCACACAGGTGCAGGGTCCCAAGGCAGCTGGATGGAAAATGGGGCTGCTGGGATTAGAACCAGCAGCCATATGGGATCCCGGTGCACGCAAGGCAAGAACTTTAGCGACTCCCGTGGAATCATTTCTTTATTCATACATTCATTCCACAACTTTTTTTTTAAAGTTTTGTTTATTTATTTGGAAAGTCTGAATTATAGAGAATGGGAGAGACAGAGACAGAAGGATCTTCTATCTGCTGGTTCTGTCCCCAGATGACCACAGTGGCTAAGTCAAAGCCTGGAGCTGCTTCTGAGTTTCCCATGTGGGTGCAGGATCCTAATGACTTAGACCATCCTTTGCTGCTTTCCCAAGGTATAAATAAGGAGCTGGTACAGAAGTGGAGCAGGTAGGACTTGAGCCAGTACCATATAGGATGCAGGTACCATAGATGGTGGCTTTACATTGCTATGCCACAACACTGGCCGCAGTAAGTCAACAAGTATTGAGTGCTTATTATATGCCAGACAGGCTTCTCAATCCATTGAGCCAAACAAACAAAAATTCTTTAAAAAATTTTTTAAATTTAGGGCCCGGTGGTGTGGTCTAGTGGCTAAAGTCCTCACCTTGAATGCGCTGAGATCCCATATGGGTGCCGGTTCTAATCCAGGCAGCTCCACTTCCCATCCAGCTCCCTGCTTGTGGCCTGGCAAAGCAGTCAAAGACAGCCCAAAGCCTTGGGACCCTGCATCCACATGGGAGACCCAGAATGAAGTTCCTGGTACCCGGCTTCAGATCGGCACAGCACCGGCCGTTGTGGTCACTTGGGGAGTAAATCATCGAATGGAAGATCTTCCTCTCTGTCTCTCCTCCTCTCTGTATATCTGATTTTGTAATAAATATAAGTAAATCTTTAAAAATTAAATTAAATTAAATTTATTTGATTATTTTATTAATTATTTTATTTTACATTATTATTATTATCATTTTATGATTCAGTTCCATAGGCCCTGGGATTTCCCTTGCCCCCTCCCCAAATTAATTTCTTCCCCCACTACCAAGTTCCCCTATATTATTACTATAGTATGGTTCTTTTATTTATTTATTTCCATTGGAAAGGCAGATATCCAGAGAGGAGCAGACACAGAGAGGAAGATCTTCCATCCGCTGGTTCACTCCCCAAGCGGCCGCAATGGCTGGAGCTGAGCCAATCCAAAACCAGGAGTCAGGATCTTCTTTCAGGTCTCCCACATGGGTACAGGGTCCCAAAGCTTTGGGTCATCCTTGACTGCTTTCCCAGGCCACAAGCAGGGAGCTGGATGGGAAGCGAGGCTGCTGGGACATGAACCGGTGCCCATATGGGATCCCAGTGCGTTCAAGGTGAGGACTTTAACCACTACACTATCGCGCCGGGCCCTATAATATAGTTCTTAAATAAACAGTCATATGTCCATCATTGTGGGCATGGACAATGGCAAAAAGTCCAGCATCCTATTGTCAAGATATAGTTAACAATTTCATTGGGAACCCATCTGTGATCTGGAAGTAGAGATGCACACTGCAATGCATCCCCACATCTGGATATGATAGTCTCCATTACAGTTACTGTAGATCCTCTTAAATGAAAACCCACAAAACAAAATCAACAACAGGAAGAAAAAAGGAAAATAAAAATGCCATCAAGGTAAATAACATGCTAGTGAATAACTAATGTGTCACTGAGGAAATGAAAAAGAAAATCAAACTTCTTGAAGAAAATAATGTTACTAATGATCTATGAGTCAGTGAAGAATTTAATGAGGAAGAAAATGTTTTGAAGAGATGAAACTAAAAAAAAATTTTTAATAAAAATCCATGAGGTATAGTTTCCGCTGATCTTTGTTGATGAGATATGTCACCTATAGGCAACAAATAGATGGGTTTTGTTGTTTTAATCCAGCTATTTCTCTTCTGTCTCAAGAGAACATCTTTAAGTATCCTTTGTAGGACAGGTTTGGAAGAGACATATTGTTTTAACTTTTCTTTACTGTGGAAGAATTTTGTTTCATTTTCAAAGACAAAGGAAAACTTTGCTGTGTACATTACCTTGGGCTGACTGCCAGCAAGAGACAGCATGCAGATGTGGATGATATTTGTTCAGTTTGTCAAGCTGAATTTCAGAAACCAATTCTTCTCATCTGTCAGCATATATTTTGTGAGGAGTGTATTGCTTTATGGTTTAACAGAGAGAAAACCTGCCCGCTGTGCAGAACTGTCATTTCAGATCATATCAACAAATGGAAGGATGGAGCCACGTCATCACACTTTCAGATATATTAAGTTGTATAAACTGTTAAGGCCACAAAATACTAATTTCATTTGGTTACTGACTGTTAACAAAGGTGTTAGAGTGGTTTTTCAGAGTTATACGGAAAATGTTTCCAAGCTGTTTCAGAACAGTGTGGTAAGACTTACACGTGTAGTCCAATTTGACTAAAGAATAAGTGAAAGAGTTCTGTGTTTTAAAAAATATACCTATTACTCATTATAATCAATATACTTTTATTCTATCCTAATTATTTGACAGGTGATTGTAGTGTTAACGAGTAAATGTATTTTCTTTCTGATGCTACCAAGACACTAGTTGGAAACTAGAATTAGTGGTCTTACAGGAATTCAGCTATTCTTTTTTGACATTATTTTTCATAATATTTTAAGGTATATATTATCTGGATTTTCTTCAGCATCAACTTTTATAATTCCCATCTAAAATTAATTAAATTTCAAAAAAACTTGTATTTTTAAATGAAAGTTCTAAATGCTATATTTTGCCTGCCTATAAGAATCAGATTTTCTAAGATTTTCTGAGGATGATATATTTTAATCTTTAAAATATAATGAAAAAGAAAAAAAAAGAATATGGAATCTGTCACTCCATTCTCTTCTGGCCTGTTGCGTTTCCTGTGTATTTAATTGGCATTGCTTTATATGTTAGTTGATTTTTTTCACATGCACATTTAAGGATCTTTTCCTTATGTTCGATTGAAGAGAGCTTGGTTAACATGTGTCGTGAAGATTGCTTTTGGTGAAGCCTGTTGGGAGTTCTGTGCCCCTCCTGAATGTTGTTTTCCAATTCTTTCTCTAGACTAGGGAAAATTTCCCTTATTATTTCATTAAATACATTTGTAAACCCAGCTTCTTTTTCTGCACCTTCTGAGACTCCCATAACTCTTTTTTTTTTAAGATTTATTTATTTTTATTGGAAAGGCAGATGTACAGAGAGGAGGAGAGACAGAGAGGAAAGATCTTCTGTCTGATGACTCATTCCCCAAGTGACCACAACAGCCGGTGCTGTGGCAATCCAAAGCCAGGAGCCAGGAACTTCCTCCAGGTCTCCCACATGGGTGCAGGGTCCCAAGGCTTTGGGCCATCCTTGACTGCTTTGCCAGGCCACAAGCAGGGAGCTGGATGGGAAGCAGGGCTGCTGGGATCAGAAATGAAAAAGAAAATCATATGGGATCTTGGGTGTGAATGGCGAGGACTTCAACCACTATGTTATTGCGCCGAACCTACCATAACTCTTATATTCGGCCTTTTAATAGTGACTTTCAGTTCTCGAATACTTTTTATTTTAGCTT